GATCGGGGAGGGGGGAATCCAGCCCCTCCCCTGTCACGTCAGAGAGCCGTGACAGGATCGAGAGGTGAGCGAACGCTGGTATGTGTTCGCTCACTTCGCGATCTACTGAGCCGACCTGTGACAGTCTCATTGTCCCCCCTCATAGTTCTGCTTTAACAATTGAAGGCACTTTGGACTCTTTCATGTTGTGGGTTTGGTGCCCATCTGTACGTCCACACACCTAGTTTAGTAAAGGAAGAATCGGTCGGCACTCCGTTCCACGCTGAATCAGTTGATTGACGATTCGTCAAAGATGCCAAGTCCTGCTCAAGGTCCACCCCCTGCCCCCCAGAAAGGGGGGGGGGGCCTCAGGCAGGACTTGGTGTCACTGATCTTCAATAAACTGATTCAGCGTGGCCGGATTCTTTCTTTACTATAGTCTGTTTGGTTGGAGTGAGGGGACACTCCTGCCGGCGAGCACCCGGCTGTCTTTCCCCTGCTAAAGCTGAGGGAGGAGTGATGCTTTATTCCTGTGCTTTGGTGATGCATTGAATTTGCTATGGAAGGTTTGTTTTAGGGCCCATTCACACTGCTGCCTAGGGCTAAAGGCACGATATCTACGCATTTAGTGCACACTACTGCACTGCACGCTAGGTGAGCTGCATTCTGAATGGCACCTCCCGGCAGGCATGCATTTTGCTGCAACACTCAGTATTGAGATACTGTACATTCAGCTGGAAAAAAAGTAAATGCTGCACTACCTGTTACCACTGCATGCGTGCATTACTGCTTTCCATTACACAGCAACTCAACTTACAGTATTGCGGTGCAGCGCAATGGACACCCACCAGAGATGTGTTCAAGTGCCTTTTAGAATGAGTGGCAGTGCAACAAACCTGCACTAAACGCACGGATACTATACCTTTTAGCGTAACGCAGCAGTGTGAATGTGCCCTTAAAGTGATACTAAACATTTAAAGGAGAACTATGGGAGGTCAGTGTTTTTCCCCATAGTTCTCCTTAGGGTAACGGGAGGACACAAACTAGCGTCCTCCCGTTACCCTAAGCTCAGTATATAGGGAGCTACAGCTCGCGGTATACTGAGATGCAGCAGACGGATCGGATCCCGACTTAGATGACAGGATCCGCCCAGCTGCGTGAGTGACAGCTGGCTCTGCCTATCTAGAGGCAGAGCCAGCTGTACCCGCCCCCTCCGCCAGTCAGCGCTGGCAGATCGGAGAGGGGAATCCAGCCCCTCCCCCTGTCACGGCAGAGAGCCGTGACAGGATCGAGAGGTGAGCTAACCCGGTATGTGTTCGCTCACTTCCCGATCTACTGAGCCGACCTGTGACAGTCTCATTGTCACAGGTCGGCTAGAACTATGAGGAGGAGTGAAAATCACTCGTCTCATAGTTCTCCTTTTAAGTACCTTAACTCTGAGCAACAATGTATCTTATTTGTGTATCACTCGGCTGCAGATCCTCCAATCATCTCTGACACTGTCCTTCCTTCTGGAGGGGGCTGCGTCTGTTCCCCATGGTCCCTGTGTGTCTTGTAAAGTAGTCACCGCTCCGAGCTCGCTCCCGGGATGGACTACAAGCTCAATACAAATCAGTAAACTAAACATGAGATTGTAGTCCATCCAGGGGGGAGCTTGGAGCGGTGACTACTTTACAACACACGCAGGGACCATGGGGAACAAAAGTAACCCCCCCCCTCCAGAAGGAAGGACAGTGTCAGAGATGATTGGAGGATCTCCAGCCGAGTGATTGATACACAAATAAGATACATTGTTGTTCCGAGTTCAGGGACTTGAATGTATTTCTAAGATTTAACTCCGGAGTTTTGTGTCCCTTTATCCAGAGCTTCTACTCTTTCTCTGCTCAATTCATAATATTGGCTGGAGTTCTGCATCTCCTGCCCATTATGTGTATTTGTTCCTCGTTATTTCAGTGGTAGAAAATGGATAGTGAGAGTTGTAGTAGGCAGTGTGATCAGAAGACGTTCGATAGCTCCTTCGTTAGTCCTTGTCCGACACTCGCGGCTGCAGCGTTCCGCGTCCTCTCCGCCCCGTGAAACTCCGAACACCAAGAAACATCGGACAGATTTGTATGAAACCCGATTATTCAAATTTATTAACATCGAGATTATTATTTTTTTTTCCTGTTTTCGGCAAAGAGGCGGGGTGTATTAATAGGCGGAGTTTGCATGTAGTTTTTTTTTTTTTCTCTTTTTATTAACAAATAGAAAACATACTGTGTACAACGGAGCAAACTCCTAACAGGACTAATGTATACACAAGGTAAAAATGGTCTCCTTATCCAACATTAGCAAGACGGTCCTCCCGATCCCCCTCCGCGGAGAATAATACATTGCGTGTAATACGAGTTCCATCGTTCGCCCACCACCGGATCGGTACCCAGGACACGGGCCGAGTCCGTCCCTCTGCTGTACTAATACAGAGTACCTTATCATGAGTACACTCTCATTCCTGAATTATTATTTTTTTTTGTTAGAAGGTCCATAAGTCTGTACATTATAACAAATGTTATCGATTTTTCTAGAGAGAGAGAGAGAAGGAATCATCGGTATGTGGCACCTTTTGTTTTATAAGACTTCATGATTCTGATGTCCCTCCCTCGTCCTTACGCTAATAATATTTGGAAAAAAAAATATGTATCCTTCAAAATGTCATCCTACAACTCTGAGCAAATATATGTATTCTTTT